TTTTCAGCGAAGAGTTGTCTTGGGAAACTTTATTGCACAATTATGCATCAGCTTCATACTAGTTAAATACTAGTTAATTGATAAATGTTGAAGTTTTACTTAAAAAATATAAATAAAAATAAAATTGCCTGCAGCGATGCTCGAAAGTGACTCTTTTGCAAAATTTAGTATTGGACTAGAAATTTTACATACCAGTAAAGCTTTTCAATGCAGAGATTCTAACTCATGGCAGTGCAGTAAATCAATCAACTGGAGTAACATTTTTTCAGAATCCGTTTAATTAAGAACTACTTACACTAATGTCAATATGAAATAAAAAACTATTAATTTATTTATTATATTAATATTTTTCTGCTTTAAAGGCATGAAATTCCAACAGTTTTTAATTTCTATAGCTCTCAGTGGCCGATAACTTGTAGACTCTCCTCTTTTTACTGTTTGGTGTGGTAAAAACTAATCCATTATTTTTCCATTAGATTGCGTTATTTATCTGTATCTCGCGTTGTATTAGTCCGCTGGGTTCTGCTAGATGGCGTTAGAGAGATGAAATTTTCTACTAAAAAGACTTTTCTCACAGTTTTGTGATTGGCTTATCCAATTTTGTTCGAGCATGCCACAAAGATGGACATTAGCAAAGAGAATATACGCTATTTTTTTAGTTTTTCTTCGAAAAGAGCGAAAACACAAACCGGTCAGTTGAAAATGTGAATATCGTTTATGGTCCTGTGACTGTTACAGTCAATCATGTCCAATTTCGGTTTCGTTCCTGTAATTTTGATTTAAATGGTGCTTCACGGAGTGGAAGATCAATTGTCGAATATAGCGATAAGATCGTGGATATTGTCAAGTACGACAGTCATGTAAGCACCGTTTCGATTGCCCAATAGTTAAAGATTTCAGATTGGAACCATTTCAATAAGACACTTAAAGCATTCAATTTCATGCAAAAATAATGGATTACTTTTTACTAGACCTAATTTCTAGTAGTACGTACATATCTTCTCTAGGTTTTGGGGAAAGCAACCAGATTTACTTAATTCATGCCAATGAACTTTTAATTTCATACATTTAGAGCAAACCCCCAAAGTGTAGCATACATTAAGGCGCCAAATATTAGTATGTGTGTAAGTGTATGCTAATATACTTATATTATACTTATACATACGTACTCACAAAGCAGTTAGGAAAGTAAATGTATGTATGTATATGTATGAAAACACTTTCGCATATATATACATATTCACACAAGAGCACATGCCAGTCAGCAGCCGTGATGCGTGTTATTATTTTTCCGCGTCGTAGCATAAAACTTCGACCTACCACACTCACCCACCGCAAACATATGTATGCATATATGCGCATATAATCACAACCATGATAGGAAGGCAAATCTCAACTACGCTTACATACAGACATGCCTGCAGAGGAGTATGTAATTCACGCTGGGGAATGCATTGTTAGAATAACAACACAGTCACTACCAAGCACACAGACATATTGGTAGAAATAAATAGAGAAATGTGTTTACCACATTCCATTTTTACATATACGCCTTTCACACAATGTTGCATTTAGGCGTTCAACTCCTAAATAATGCAAATTAGTTACGTCTCACAGGAGTTATTTAAATATTCCGTGTAAGCAACACACACAGACTAAGTATGTGCATGTAAAGATTTCTTATAGTATATGTACATGTGTATGTAGATTTGTGAAGAGTCACGCAAAAATATTTCGGTAAGACAATAATGCTAGAAGCAAAAACAGAGATAGAAAGAGAGAGAGAGAGAGAGAAATAATGGGAACGAAATTAAAATGTCATCAAGTGTCAAGTGGTAACAAAGAGATGACAGTGTATGCGAGACTGATGGCTAATAATTTTTATACCATTTATGAACATGCAAAAAATATAAAAATATAATCATTATTCGTATAAAGAATCCTAAAATCCGAAATTAATCTGCTTTCAGAATTCTTAGATTAGCCCTGCTTTGACGCTCTTTTTGGCGTAATAAATTCTGCTACTAAACGAAAGTTATTGTAAAATTAATCTTTTGCAAAAAAACAGAATTTTGTAAAACTCATATTAAAAATATTCAAAACATAAATCAAAAATATGCTCATAATAAAACTCAATTTTAATCGAAGACATTTTTGAGCTTCTAAAAAGAGCGAAAACACAAAAATTATTGTTTTGTCCGAGCTTTTTTGTATGTGTAAATACTGCAAAGCTCTTATTTTTTATATATTTTTGGGTTAGGAATTAGTCCACTACAGTTAAGGATATTTCAATGCGGTTAGCACTAATCAGAAGATTATAAATCATTTAAAAATAATTCTACAGAAAAACAAATATTAATCATAAAACTTCGTGTTGGGCAGAAAAGGAAGGTAATTATGTATAGTGATAAACGAAAAAATCTAAAATTAATATAGTCGAGGTGGAGTAATCCCAGCTTATGGTTTTTTGAAATATTCAATCACTTAATAATTATTTCCTTCAGTTTCTTATCGAGTGTCAAATCTGATTAATATTAACATTGATGCATTCGTTTCCTTATCACAAATGATTCTTACACGTATCTCATATAAAATTCGTATCTCTCATATATTTAAGTCTCTTAAAGAATTTTTTTTTTTTTTTTGATCACATACGATTCAGTTTCGAGTATTTATTCTAAGCATAAGCGAGTCCATTTTTTAATTTTTATTTTTAATTATGGTTTGAGCGTAAGGAAGATTCCAATTTCTTTTTTCGTGTAAGATATCAACATTTTTTGCAAAGTTGAAGAGTTTCTTCATATCCTTTTTTGAAACGATTCTGTGAAGCTCCTAAATGCCTAATATATGTTTGAGATAAGGCTGCGCGGAGACAGAGAAACGATATTTAAATGTATCACTTATAACTATTTCGCTTTCTCACTGCTAGTTATGCTCTTTCTGTTTGTCAGTAGGCCTCAAACTCTTCTGCAGTCCTTTCCATACCGCGTGAGTAAAAAGTGTGTGCATTTTCCTTTGCTGATTTTATTGTAGTAAACTTGGCAATTCTAAGTGCAATTAAGGTACTCAAATGCAAGGTATTGTAATAGTTTCTCATCAAAGCCGAATGTTATGTAAATATTTTAACCAAAGAAACAAATATAAATGATACAAATTTTTAAAAGGGAGTAAAATACTTTTACCAAATAACTCATAATAATTATGTGATGACTTGGCTCTTGTCATAAATCTTATTTTTTTGCTTAAATTAAAAAAGGAGAACTTTTTGTAGAGGGTACACATATTACGTCTTCAACAGAAAAAAAAATATTTTTTTTTATTTACTTCTGCCAAAATTTTAAAGTCTCAAAAAATAAAGAAAATTGCTGCAAAAATGTTGTTGAAGGACAAACTGAATGTATATATAAACATAATCATATGCATATCTAAGTTGATGTTTGCTCTTATATGAACATCATTAATCATACAAGGCAAATATTTTTCATTATTTTTTAAAAATCACTTGGGAGAGACCAGCAGAGGAATTTCGAATTTAAATGGAAAATACTACGCTACAATGTCTGTATATGCAGATGTATATTGTTATAAGAATATTATGAAACCAATATGAATTACTTCATATGCATAGATAAACTTAGCACATACTTTTAAGGATATTTATTCATAAATACATACTAAAATCTTTATATAATACTTTTCAAGTTATTTTGTGTATTTTTTTTTTTAGCGGAATCAAAACATATTTCACTCGTAAAGCTAAATAAAAATTTACTTATTTTGTTGCTTTTGATGCTTTTACGCCAATAAATTCACTCAATTTTTCTCTCTCTTTTTTTTGCACTATTTTAGTGCGCCACGGCGTATACGCAACCGGCAACAATTGAAATCTCTATTTGATCACATTGCATGCAGCAATTCACTTGCACTCCTAGTGTTTAATTAACAAGCAATAAAGTGCGCATTGTTTTGTTTCAATTATTATTTTGACCTTTGCCCACAACAACAACAACAGGAACAACAATATTAACTATAAAACCAACAATTCCAATCCATTCACTTTTACGATTACATAACATATATAGACATTAGCAATAATTATATTGCACAACAGGCAACAGCGAAACATGTGCAGTCGTTGGCGGTGTTGTAAAACAATAACAACAAGATAAAAAATAACAATTATTTACAACAACAATATTAGCACTAGGCAGCAATATTCGCTGCTGTTAACAGACCGTTGTAGTGGAAAATGCAACTGTGTGTGTGTGTGTGCATTTTTAGCGATGGCCAAGCAGTTATCACCATTATCATCACTTACGCTTCATTACACCGAATGGTGTACACAACAAATACAACAACTGTTAATTAAATTGTTTTTGTATATGTATTGTGCAATTGTTAATATTATTAACTAAAAAGTGTGTGTGGAAAATGGTGAAGCAATTAAAATGAGGTTGCAGATGTTGCCAATATATGTGGCAAGAAAGAGAGTGAAGCTGGAAGTGGAGTAGAGTATTCAGTAAAACTAAAAAATCATTGAAGGTGAATATAATAAGAGCAACTTAAGAATCGGTAGCGATTATCAACAAGTTGGCTCAGATTACAGTGATTTTTGAGTCTACAGGCCCAAAATACCTTAAGAATAAAAGTGGTTCTCTAGAAAATACAGTTGCGCTTTCTCTCTCCACATTAAGTACCCAAGCTTGAAGGCAACACTATTCTCCCTTATGGAATTATAAATCTTCTTACGGCCAGTAAATGGCAACACGGAATTTAGAGTAATCTTTCCAGTGGCCTTAAAACTACTAGCAAAGACAACAGTTCTTGTATTTTCAAAAGTTAGATAAGACGCAAACCATACGATCTAGCAAAGCATTATTAAACTGATCGTTTTTACTTAAAAATGAGTACAGATGTCGCGAAGATCGCTAATTATCATCATATTTGAAAAATCATATTGGAATCGGTTAAAGAAACACAACATTTATTATAGAATCAAATTTATTGTTTCGTATTCAATATAGACACTTCTTCAGAAAAAAGCTTCCCTTATGCCAACAAATAATCCAATCAGAAAAATATTTTTGAAACAGTTTTTTTATAAATAATTCATGAAGGGTTCCATTAGATGTCTTTTGTCAACTAAAAAATTTAATTAATGTTGTTTTTGACATTAGTCTGGCACTGGTTTCAGCCCAAGACTGTCCACTTGGCAGCACGAATGTTGGTAATCCTGATACCACGAGAATGATCACTTACAGACGACAGCAGATGGCGCTGTTACTCTCTCCTGCACTGTTGGTGTTATCCTCTCAGTTTTAGCGTCATCATATGTCCACCCACCCGAAAGAAAGACATTTGAAAATATTTCGAAAAACAAGAATAAAGCATGTAACTCGATATAATCATTTTTACTCAAGATAAAAAGCGATTACTTGTAGCAAATAAATTCTCGAAGAAACCACTTGCTTATTTCCCCTGCTTATCATCTTCTTGCGGTTTCTTGCTTTCCTCAGCCTCCGCCTTATCGTCAGGCTTACTACCCGTAGCGCTGCTGCTACTCTTCGCACTCGGCGTGCCACTGCGATGCTCACTGGAGCGCTGTTGTGGTGCAAATGTTACTGTTGGAGGCGATGTTAAATTCAAACCTGAAGCTATCAATGCAGGCAAAAGGTCTGCCGTAGCACTAGTAGCATTGTAAACATTTTGCATAATACGTTGCCGTTGGCGCTCTTGACGCTGTCGTTCACGCTCCTCACGCAACAAATCGAAATCATCCTTTTCATGTTCATCCATTTCATCTTCGTATTTAATTGATTTAGCCGTACTGGAGAGGGAGCGCAATTGATCGACCTTCATGCGTGAGCTGCGCGACTCAACACCCGTGCCCTCATCATCGGTTAACCAAGCCAAGCGTGCAGCGGCCGAGAATTTGTTAGTTGCAACATATCTTTCGTGCTCGGAAGTGGAATATGGCTGGTGTTCTTCAAGCGAGGCTGAGCTCGTGGAGAGATGTACACGACTAGTTGTAGTTTGGGTATTATCTTTGCTTCGTAGGCGTTTCAAAACCGCGTTGATGCGTGAAAGACTGCTATGTAGACTGGAGTTAATAGCCATGTTGTCACGGCGCTTCCAAACAAAATGTGCTGCACCATCGGACTAGCGAGAGTTATAGGGAGTAGGAAGCGTTTAAGCATTTAGAGGACCAGATTTTTTGAAATTATGGTATAAAGATCTGTTTATTACCTTGCCAGCATCGGTGTAGTCAGCTGTGGCTTTATGAAAGTCGTCCGGATATGGCAAGCCGCCAGGCAAAACCTCATCCCAATACTGATCCTTCACCAATTCGGGATGCTCGTGGTGCATCTCATCGACAATAAAGTAGGAAACTTGCAAATTGCGATCAATCATCCAGTTAACCTGTGAGAGTTGAGAGAACATTTTGGCTTAACCACAAAAACGCAAGCAACCGGCTTACTTCAAAGTCATCATCGTCATCGCCGAACGGGTTCAATAGCGACTCCGCCACTTTGAGCCAACCCATGTAGAAGAAGAACTGCAGCGTTGTAAAGATGGGCAAATAATAGTCCACCCAATCGTAGTGTCCATCTGGATCGACCTCTTTGGGCACCCACTGTTGACCGATGAGTGCTGCCAAAAAGTACGAGTACACTGCCAATGTTACGACTTGCGTGTAAACCAACGGTATTGGCACCGAATCGAAATGCAATATAACGGCACATTTGTTACGAAACGTATCTAATTGATCGAAAATCGTTTTCAGCGCAACATCATCGCGTATGCGGCCCTCTTTTCGAGCACGCGAAACAATACTAGCAGCCCAGACGAGTGGTACCCAGTGTTTACGATGTTTCGGCGATTTTTCATCCATCGCAATGAGAACGTCCTTCTCATTTTCGGTTAGTAGACCAGCATCCACCAGGGAATCCATTGTGGGAAAACGTTTCTTAACGCTTGGCGCAACCATTGTGAAAATCATGGTAAGACAGAGACAGACATAGCGCATTACAGTACGACGCATTATACGACCACGCTCATCCTGACCCACGAAGAGCGTACTAACATACACAGCAAGCGGATCAGGCCAAGGCACAGTTATGTATTGCGTCCACCAGCGCTGCATGACGACTGCAATGTAAAAGCCGAGCACAAACGAGAGAGGTATGAGTGTGCTCGAGCTGTGGCAGTAATGGACGAGGAGCTCAAAGAGCCTATAAAGGGGGTAGTCACGATTACGTTCAGTTGTTATAAATCTCTATTACGCATTTCTCTTACCGCTGTTGGTTTGGTCCCATTACAAAACGATACATTATGCTCAACGAGTAATACAATACCAGGAAAGCGGCCAAATCTTTCCAAATAATTTTATAAATGCTGCCACGCCAACGAGCCAACAGCTTGAGGAAGCAATTGAAATTGCTAGTCGCCACTTGAGCCTGATAGGACACCGTCATTGTTTTCGAATTGCTGGGAAGTCGGAAAATTATTTATTTTCGCCTTCAATAAATAAGTGTATTATGCAATTTTCCGTAAATAATTATTTTTTGGGCAAAGAAATTTTTTTAATTATTAAAATCTCCGTTTGACAGTTTTAAAAGAAAATTTCAGAAATTCAGCAGTGGAATATTCAAATGTCTCTGTAGGTATTGTGTATGTATATAGATTATCTGCCTCTCGGTATGGAAGCATTTTTGAGGCGATAGAGAAGTAATTTTAATTGTTTCTGTTTGCGATTGTTAAGGGGCTGAAACCTGAACCTCCATAGGACTTTTGTAATAAAATTTAGTAAATACCAACATACAAGGTCAATTACTTTTCAGTGTCTGTACATTTTTAAGTATCTTTTAGACTACAAATAACCTTTAGAGTATGCAGTTGGCTTTAAAGAGCACCCTACTTGAGTAATTCACTATTAAGAATGTATTTATTCGACAAGAGGTTTGTCTTTCAAACATTTCCCACTCTCTATCAATTATTGTCTTCCCACCATTCGTTTTGTGCTTTGATTTGTACTTCATCTACCCTTTCATTAGTGTTCATTTCACGCTCTTTTCAATTCGACCCCGCCACAGATTTGCGTGATTTCTAATTTACCACACTGATTTGCATTGTACTCATCGCACTTTTCTAGTACAACCAGAACACACACCAGCACTGAAATTCAACAAATTAACATTACACCAATCGCCGGAGTGGGAGAGCGTTTGTGTGTCAGGCAGTGACAAGTTCTCTTTCGAGTGTCCTTCAAAAATTTACATAATTCCAGCAGTTTAGTCGAATTTACCACACTCTCAGTCAAGAGAGAAGGTGTTGCATTTGCCGCTGCACATACATACATACACACACAGAGACATACTGCAATCACTTGCTATATACCTATTTTACTGCTGCGTTACGGTCATTATATGTGTCTTGAAGCAGATTATACAGATTTATATAGGTAGGGAAGGGCGTAAATGTTATAAACGTACTAGTCCTGAACTAGTTTGAAAATAAAATAAGAAAAGTCAAATGAAATTATTAATAAAAAAAATCCAATAATATTAAAAAACTACATAAATAAAAAAAAAAACATTTATAATAAAACTAAAAAATTATTAGAGTAAAAAAAATTAAATAAAAAATTTCCAAAATGTAAAATAAAATAAAACTTAATAAAACAATACAATTCTATGGAAAAAAAAATAAATAAATTTAAATCAAATAATTAATAAAATATAAAATTTAATCAAATTGAATAAAAGAAAGTGATTAAATATATTAAATTATATATAAAATAAAATAAACGAGAACAATAATAAATAAAATTATAAAAATAAAATAGAAATAAATTAAATTAAGTAAAAAATTAAATAAAATTAAATAAATTAAGCAAAAATGTAATTAAATAAGAGAAAATATAATAATTTAAAAAATAACATAAAAAGATAAAAAATAGAATAAAATAAAATTAAATAAAATGGAAAAAAATAAAAAAAATTAGTTCAACCAAATAAAGTTAAATAAAATAAATCAAAGTAGAAGAAAAATAAAAGGCAATAAACTAATACAAAATAACATAAATTAAACAAATTATAAGAAAGTAAAATTAAATGCAATAAAAAAAATTAATTTAAATAACATCAAGAGAGAGAGAAAGTAAAATTAACTATAACAAAATAAAATATAATGTAATAAAAAATATTAAAAAAAAAATTAAGTAAAATAATATAAAATAAAATAAAATAAATTTAATACAACTAAGTAAAATAAAACTAACTTAAATTAAACTTGAAAATAAATATAATAATAGATATAATACAAAATAAAAGTTATTTAAATTTAATTATATTAAATAAATTTAAAAAACAATTAAAATAAGAATAATTAAATTTAATTAACTTTAATAAATGCAAATAAAATAAAATTAAATTAAATACAAAATAAATTAAATATTATGAAACAAAATGAAATAAAAAAATGAAAAAGTAAAATGAAAAGAGAGAAATAAAATTAAAGCATTAAATAAAAATTAAAAAAAAATGGAAAATATATTAAAACATTAAGAGAAATGAATTAAAATAAAACTTTATCAAGTAATAGAATTTTACGAAAGAATTAATAAAATGAAATCATAGCAAATAAAACACACTAAGAAATAAAAACAAAATAAAATAACAGAACTAGTATAATACTAGTATAATGCTGATGCATGGAAATTCTCGTGAGGTTTCTGTGAAACAGAAATTTAGTTAGTTGCCAACTCGTCGCCTTTCAATTCCCAATTTGCTACTCGCTTTAAAATATTATATATGTTTGTTGCCACGCCCTTGTCACATTTCACGATTTCCCACCAGCACGCCTCAACGTTTCCTGTGCTCAACAGCGACATACATACTTATTAGAGTTAAAAATTTCCATTTCTATTTCACTATGTCAACACAAAATTTTATGTAAACTAAATTTTACGCAGATAGTTTTCATACAATTTTATTAGCATACGCTCAGGCGTAATGTTATGCTGTATGCGTGAATGTGCTTGAGCTTATATGAATATGTGATTAGTAATCCTTTAGCGCTGTCTCTTGTGTAATCATAAAATTTTCGGTTGTAAAATTTGGGCCACACTGACCACAAAGCATACATAAATACAATAGTTACATTTACATTAGTATATAATATAGAGTTTATACATATATACTATGTATGTATTTAAATACGTATAAATATTTCAAACAATTCAAGCGGTAAGTCCGCTGGGATACACATCCATACATGCAAATAAAAGCTACCAATGCCATAAATGTCTTTTTATGTTATGCTAATGAACTTTTACTTTTATTGATATTGTTTTACATGCTTTCATTAGTAAGAAATGTGAATATGAAATCTGTGTGAGAAATGAGACGTGGCATTCAACACGCTCACTAATTTGTTCTCATTTACATACATACACACATTTATTTTAAAGTCACATAAAATGTATCTTATGCTTGGGAATACATCATCTTAGTTAACCTTTTAACGGTGTTAAGTCGTTACTTTCAAGATGAATGCGAAATTTTATGTTGAAAACAAATGAAAATGCCTTCTCCTTGGGGGCTCTCAACAACTGTTTTTTGTAGAGAAGTATAAATGTCAAATGTTGTACGTCAAGGTATGAAAGTGTCATAAAAATCACATTAGTGTGACATTTTATGTCATAGCAAAATATAATGAGTTAGTCAAAGTGTTATACCCTTTGAACAAAAAATAAATAAATTAGTATATCCGTCTTGACGACTTTTGGAACTTGAATATCTCACTCTAGAGGAACGCTGACAATATATTAATTACGAAAAAATCTTAAATGCTGTTCACACCGGCACACAATTAACTAATTGCTTCTTTTTTTTAAGTGTACAGTTTGTTAGCCTCTCAGCTACCAAGAGGTTAATGGGAATGCACCGGCGTAGTTATATCTATAGCTTCGCATGATATCGTGCGGTATGCCGATGTTAACCATCAGCACTGAAATATACTTTACAGAGTATTCTTCGTAGGCTAGCGGTTTTTAGTGAATCTCCTCGTCGTTTTGTTATCAAAACCTTCACTTTTTCTGGATCAGTCCCCGGTCTTGGTCATCAGTCTGCAGGGCTCATAAGTGAAACTGTTGGCTTTTTCCAAACCAAGTTGAGTTTATGCCCGGAAACGGAGTCGTTACTGACGTGATCACGTTTGGGCACCCATGTCACTGTTGACAGTCAAAACTTTGAACTCGTAATTTCGTCTATCTGCCAACCACCATTTATGCCAACAACGTTTTCTGGTTTGAAATCCCCAGCCACAATGGAACAATGAGCTATATAAGATCAGTTCAATTAAAGGCAACTACGGCGCTGGCAAAATCATGCCATCCGGAAGGAAGAAAGTACTCAAGCTTATACCGCCGCTGGAAGCATAGAAAGACGAAAAGCTCCATTCACTTCGGTTCACTTGGTGAAACGGTTGCTGTTGACTTTTCCACAATCGTTTAAGCGATATATATGCTAATCAAGAAGAAGACGAAGACGAAGAAGAAGAGGTGGAATAAGAAGGAATGAGCACTTTACTCTACTACCTGTCTTAAATTTCTTTTTAACTTATTTCGCAACCCAATCATACCTTCAATCAATACAGCAAACCTTCTAACTTTCCAACAAATCGAATTGTTTATAAAAGTTTTTGCACTACAACAACAACAACAGCCAGCTAAGTAAATTTTAAATCAACTCGGGTAACAACAAGAGCCTGTATCCCAACAATACCTAACTGAGACTTTGTTGCCTCGCAGCAACTTAGCTTTTATTTGCTAACTTGAAATCTGCTACTGCTGAATGTCATCCGGTTGACGGTGTTACAGCGATACAACAATATAACTGTACATACTTTTATACATACCAGTATAGAGTCGTGCAATTGCTAGCATTTCCCGTAATGCGCCCGACCACTCTTCTTTGCAAACATGGGACGGACGACCCGCAGGCTAATAATCGTAATTGACAGTGATGCAAATTTGAACTTTACTATGAATACGCCACGCAGACAATTACACAAATGTAACCACACACACCCATGCACATATAAGGCTAAATTGAAATCATTATATTAACACACACACACGTAAAGATTGTGAGACAAAAATATCTTCTCACGGACTCAGTTGCCTCCTCCCCCATCAAACTTTCGGCTTTTGTTTCACAATTGTCAGCGCTGCCAGCGAATTTCCCTACAAACTTATAAAAAGTAAACAAAAAAAAGTAAAAACTCATTTGCTTTTGAAGTAGAGCTTCAATTGACAATTGTCTTGTGAAGGACAAACCAAAACTGTGACAACGCAGCGCGCGGACACAACAATTGCAACAATGACAATGGAGCAACTCTCGTCGTGGACACCGCGACAGCCAGTCAGCCTTACCGGTGACAAAGACAGGATGTTTTAGTGTTGATCGGAAACTTTTGTCGTTTTCGTCTTCTAATTGCTTGACAAAATGAATTTGCATATTAATTCTGCAGCCGCGAAGAAGGCGAATAGTAGAGGGAGATGACAGCGCTCGATAGCGTGTGGGTGGTATAAA